CTTTTCCATTATCCCAATATAACCCCCAATATAACCCTAATATATCCTTAATAACCCCTATAATCCCTGTAGTTTCCATTTTCTTTTCCATTATCCCAATATAACCCCAATATAACCCTAATATCTACTTAAGGGGGACCGCCGTTCTACTTTGAGCCAGCGCCAGGTGATGATGTAAATCAGCTGGGACCTGCAGATGCGTTCCGTTTGGCTGTTGCTGCAGCGATTCAAGGTTCCTGAGTCATCCTTGCATGGAGGGTTTAGGGTCTGGGGTTTAGGATTTGGGGTTTTGGGGTTCTAGGGTTTGGGGTTTAGGCTGTAGTTTCTTTGCCGTACTGCCCAGTACGGAAGAGAACATGTTCAGATTATTCTTTAAGGGTCCAAGGGCCCAAATAATACGATATTAGAGTCCAAATACTATAACATTAACGGTATCTGGGCCCTAAAACCCTATCATTTGGGTGCTTGGGCCCTTAGGGCCCCTAAACCCTAGCTCCTATGCATGCATACATCCCCAACATATCCGCAATATATCCCAAACATAGTAGTAGTTTCCTTTTTATTTTCCATTATCCCCAATATATCCCCAACCCTAAACCCTAAACCCTAAGTTTCCATTTACATATTCAAGAAGTCTCCTCAAGCAGGAACTAGGTTCGGGCGTTCTGAGACACTATCACCTCGTTGGACAGATGGTAGCTTCCCAAGGTTTAGGGTTTAGGGGTTTTTAGGGTTTAGAGTTTTTAGGGTTCAGGGGCTTTAGGGTTTAGAGTCTTCAGGGTTTAGGGGCTTTAGGTTTAGGTTTAGGGCATGTAGACCCCAAAATATTACAATCCTCATCACAGGAATCCACAAACAGGTACCCTAAATGAACCCTAGGCCTGTAACCCTACACTAGTAAAGGCCCTTGTAGTAGTGTGCGAGGTATTTCTACGTGCTAGTCATATGAAGCCCCATATCAGCTTCTTCGGCAGGACAGGGGCCTATAAAGGGCCATCTTTGAGATTCCGCGTAGTTTTTAGGGTCTTCAGGGTTTTTGGGGTTGTGGGTTCTTGGGGTTTAGGGTTTTTAGAGTTTAGGGAAGGGCAGGTTGAACCCCAATGCATTGACGGTCCCTGATGAGGTCATTGAGTAGTATCTCCAACAGACGTACTAGTTGGTGACCAACATGGAACGAGATCATATTCTCCGGGATTGGTTTCTTGAAGTCTTCAAAATTTCAGGTATGCATTGCAGAGCTTGCATAGCATTATGTCGGAAAGTAGGTGCGGTGACCTTGGCAACCTGTTCCTGGGGAATACGAAGATGCGTTTACAAGTTGTTCAACGTAGTTCTAAGAGTTGGAAACATAAACCTCAAAACGTAAACACGAACTCCTACACTGCGAATTCTAAGCCAAGCCCTAAACTCCAAGCCCCAACACAAGCTTTAACCTCCAAACCCCACACCCCGAACCCAAGGCTCTAGACCCGACACCTTAAACTTGATTTGATTCTCTAAGCCATACTAAAGCTAAATCATAAACTCCAAGCCATATAGACCGAACTCAACATTAAACTTCAAATGCTACTTCAACCCCAAACCCAACACCCAAATCGAAGCGTAGCCCCAAACTCCAAAGCATGAAGACTGAACTGAACCAACAACTCAAAACCCTACCTCCAGACCGAAACTAAATCATAAACCCACGCGCTTCAGACTGAATATATATATATATATAACCTAACCTCCACACGCTACGCCCCAACCGAAGAACCCTATATAATTTTATACTATCTGTAACCCAAGGACCTACTATATGGGTGACTGGGCTTCTAGGGTATAGATTGGACCAAACTCTGAGCGCCAAAAGATGCTCCCCCACCAACATTTAGGGTTTAGGTTTTAGGGGGTTGAGGGTTTAGGGTTTTGGGGGCTTAGGGTTTAGGGTTTTGGGGGTTGAGGGTTTAGCGTTTGGGAAACGCTTTACCTGAAATTAGTTCCTT